CTAAAAACCATCTTGGCTACTTGCATCAGGAAACAATGGGTAGAGAATTACTAAACTTTAGACACTGTTGAGCCCAAGAATGAGAAGGGCTTCCTGCTATCTCGAAATTAACAGTTTCACTCAGTTTAATCATATCAAGAGATTGCTACCATCAGCAATAGCACTACCATGAATGCAAATACTAGAATTTTAATAGTTATTATTCACAGTTGGAAATAAACAGCTTTGGAATGTTGTTTCTGCACTGTGGACCATGGATTACTTCCATCAGTATTCCATGTAACACTTTATATAAATGCGAGTCCCCACCCCATTGCAACTGAAGCAGAATCTTTGGGAAAAGGACTATAAATATGGAAGGTTAATGTCCTCCTCAACTCTTGCACTGGATTTTCATGTAAACTTATGTTTAAGAACCACTATTCCAGAAATTGGTATTCCAAACCTATGAATTTGTATTAATTATCATAGAGGCTGAGGATGTAATTATGTAATTATGCTCAAGCAACATTTATCATTTTATTAGATGGAATAGAATATAAGCTTTGAGGGACACACTTCACACATATAGCTGATACATTCTTTTTATCTTTATAAATTTATTTTTATGTGGTGCTGAGGCTCAAACTCAGTGCCTCACACTGCAAGGCAAGTGCTCTACCATTGAGCCACAATCCCAGCCCCTTGATGATACATTCTTAAAAAAAAAATGTTCCACTAGGCACAGTGGCACAAGCCTATGATCTCATCAAGACAATGAAGCAGGGAGGATCACTGGTTCAAAGCCAGCCTGAGAGACTTAGCAAGATAGATCCTATCAAAATAAAATGAAAAAGGGGTTGGGACAGAGCTCAGTGGCTGGCAGAAGGAAGACTGAGATAGCATGTGGAAGGCCCTGGGTTCAATTCTCAGTATCACACACACACACACACACACACACACACACACACACACACACGCACATACACACTTCATAGTTTAGATTTCCTTTAGGAACCCTGAGCACATTTATGATGATAACAACATGAAGAAATTTTCTGAAGAAAGTATTCAGTACTAGAGGAAAAGTGTTCTATATAGTAATCAGAGAATAGAAGCAAGACCTATACTAAAGACAACAATGTAATTTTAAAAGAGGCACTTCTGTATTTTGAAATTTCTTTTTATTTTTTGTCTTTTCCTTTAAAGGAACAGCCAGCTGAAAACTCTCCTGGCCATTGGAGGCTGGAACTTTGGAACTGCCCTGTAAGTCCTCTCTGAAGAGCCTGTTGTCCA